CTTAAATGCCTTCTGTGTCTTGGCGATTTCATTTAAGAAGTTTGTGGCATGAAAATATGTAAAATGGCTTAATTTCTGAGAAAAAGGGGTCCAAAAAAAAAGCCAACTCAGACACTAAATATTCGAATGACTTAAAATCGCAGCAATGACTCACAAACAAATATATAAATGAATACTATAAACAATGTTCATATTAATACATTGTAAATAAAGAAATACATACATACATATGCTACATACATACATAAAATTAATGGTAACTTAAATGTATCTAAAAAGTAAACTGTAATTTCTCACCAAACCCAAACATTTTCCTGTTGCATTCGAAAAAGCATACTTACATTTTTTTTACTGCTTCGGTCAGGATGAGCCAGTATCAGAGAGGTGTCTCCCTCTAGTGGCTGAGCAGTTCAAGAGTACAGCAGCAAAGTTAACCGTTTTAGGCCTACTATAACTTTAGCTAATGCATGTTAAGCTCTCCTCTGTCTATTACAATTGCATTTTAAGGGATATATAAGGCAGAAAATAATCTTATATCACAAAAACCCAATTTTGTGTTAACCTCAAAAATGTTATCAGAAGTCCCTGTATTTATTGTAAATGTATGTTTCAATTTGTTCCATATGGAAAATAGTAAATAATAAAGCCTCTTTTAGTAGCTTCAGTGTACTAAGCGGTTTTGTATCTTGTTATGAGTAGCTTCACTGTAGCTTAACTGCTTTAAATTATGACTATTTTCCAGCACTGATGGCAAAACTAGTTTTATCTGTCAACAGCAGAAGTAGTGATGGCCAAAACTGTGTTGCTTTCAGCTTATCTTTGCCTGGATGTGAAAATATCAAGTTCATAATCATATTTCTTTGAAATAAACTAAAAATAAATTTAAATACTATTCAAACTTGAATTAAGCCCAAGGGGAAAAAACAGAATGTTTTTTTATTTTATGAAGCTTGAAATTAAATTATTATTATTTTTTCTTTTTTTCTTTTTGCAAGTCAAGAATTTGTAGCTCAGGTTTCTGCTCAAAGGAAAAAGTTCACAAGGTCAGTTGGTCTGACTTTGTGTTTTCAAAACAAACTGCTGTATAAGGCAGAATATAATCACTTAAAAATAAAGCAAGTAATATGTGTACTTTACACTTTAACATTCGTGACTGTGACAATGGAAATATATCTTATAGTTGATCCAAATGTAGCCTACATTGAGAGCAATAGGTCTATGGATTTAAAGTTTTGGTGTCGGTGGTGTGATAAAGTATGTGTGTGTGGTACACAAGAAAATCCATCAGCTCTTGGTTTACATCATTAAGATCTTGCAAGTTGTTGAAAAGCATAAAATATCCACTACTATTTTCAAAAATCAAAAGGTGGAGGTTTATTTTGACAAAAAAGAAATAAATTGAATTACTATTATTTACAATTACACATCCAGGCAAAGATAAGCTAAAATCAACACAATTTTGGCCATCACTATTTCTGCTGTTGACAGATAAAACTAGTTTTACAATTACAATTTGAATACATATTTTGAATTAAACATATTATTGCAGTAATGTATCAATAATAATATGCATGTTCCATAACATTACATTTAATAATATAAATAATAAATACAACAACCAGTCAGTAAGATCTCAAACATTTGATCAATTAAGACTTTGGCAGATATTTAAATATCATGCTTCTAAAATGGTACTGAAATTCATAAATTCATACTTAATTTCATACGTACTTAAATTCATATGTTGTTTAGTTAAGACTAACATGTAATTTAGATTGCAGAGTAATAATTTGTATCAATAGGAAATGACACAATATTCCTTACTTAATGCACTAAATATACTGTATATCAATTTTTTGAGAACTAAACTTATTTTAATTATTTTTATTAGAGTGATGAACAGGAGATGACTGCTAGTAATGCTGGGAATGTGTATTCTGTAATCCTGCTCCGGTGCTGAAGATGTTTTAGCATATATCCTATTATCCACATGAGTGATCCTAGTGACTGATTTGGACGGAACTTCAGGATCAGATAAAGGACAACTGAAGCTTGTTTGCTTTGCATGTGACTTTCACACCATCCAGAGGAACTCAACTAGATAATTGGCCACAAAGCCCACAGAGTCACTGGCTCCCTTTTCCTGACACTGGCATGCTAAGACATCACTAACCATCACTCACAAAACAACCAGCCAGGCGGAACGACTGCTCATCTCTCGGCAGTAAAGTTTAGTCCATGTGCCCTTTTTTATGTACTACTTAAATTTACCAATAAAATCAATGTACTTCTACGAATTTTGATTTATTATATATATATATATATATATATATATATATATAAAATGTGTATGTGTGTTGTAAAGTGTGTGTGTGTGTGCACTCTTTCCTGCAATGTCACTACAGAGGAGAGGCAAAAGAGAAAGTTTTGCAGAAAACAGCGCTTGTCTGTTTGTGTGTTTTACCGCACAGAGGAGAGAGAGAGAGAGAGAGAGAAATCACCATTGCCGCACACACTGCACATAGGTGACTATTCACTGCTAGCCTTCAGCAAAACCATTTTAGAATTCATTTCTGTGC